AAATTTTGTAGATTTTCTTAAAGGTTTTAATATTGATAGAATATTTTATAATACTTTATATACGCCTCAGAATAATCCAGTGGAGCGTTATAATAAAACGGTTGAAACTTGCATTTCTTGCTTCGTTCGTGATGATCATAAAACTTGGTCGAAATTTCTTCCACACGTTCAGTTAGCTTTGAATAGTAGTGTTAATTTGGCTACGGAGTTCACTCCGAATTTCCTAATGTTTGGTAGGGAGTTAATTGTTGATGCGTCATTGCACCGTTTTAGTAATTCTTTTGATAATTTAACACAGATCGATCTTGTTGACCGTTCTGCTTTTGCTCATTCACTTTCTTCACTTGAAAGTATTTTTGTTAAAGTTACTGGAACTTTATTTAAAGCATATAAACGTAATGGTTCTTATTATAACAAGCGTCGTGAAGTCACTTCTTATGATGTAGGTGATATTGTTTGGAGGAGGAATTTTGTTCAATCTAGTGCTGCTCATTATTTTTCGGCAAAACTAGCTCCGAAGTTTATTAAATGTAAGATTATTGATAAAATTTCTAATAATGTTTATGTTTTGAAGGATTTGGTTAAAGGTACTTCTGGTCGTTACCATGTTAAAGACGTTTTGAAAATTTAGATTGCAAATTGTTTGCTATTGTTTGGTTAGTTTTGTTAAACATAAACAAACCTTTGGGTTTTAGGATTTTGTAACATGAGTGATTTTGTGGATTTGAGAGTTAGTTTATCTGCGTGAAGTATGCTAGGCTTTCCACTTGTAAGATGATGAAAGATAGTGGGGTTACTCAATTACATTTGACTTTACTCATTGACTTTTTGGTTTTTATTAAATTCAAGTTTTGCCATTATATTATTTGACTTTGAAAATTTTTAGTAAAATTTAAATTTACTTAGTATGCCTACTTGTTTTCTGCATCATAAGATTTTATAACCTTTTGTTTCATGCAGATGTATTATCTGTATGGACACATTTTTATTAGGATTTTATATGTCCTCATTTGTTATTTTTGTACAAACTTATTTGTTGGTACTATAGTTGTGTGGTGTTTCTGCATGTTTGTTGTTTTATAACAATTTGTTTTGTGTAGAAGTTTGTGTGTGTGATATTTGTTACACCCGGATTTGACATTTTGGAGCTCCCATTTTTCCTTGGATTTGACATCCATGATTTTGACCTTTTTTTCGTTAAATATTTTTGACGATTTGTTTGGTTTACCACTTTGTTTTGGTAATTTGTTTGCCCATATTTGTGGACATCAATTGTTTGTTTTTGTGCTTCATGCTCGGGAGTTCGGTGGAGTTGTGCCGATCATGTAGTTACAACTTTTGTTTTGGGTGCTTCATGTCCGGAAAGCCGTTGGTGTTGAGTCGGCCATGAATGTCACGTTTTGGTTTTCGCCAAATTTTTTTGCTGTTTTGACTTTCGTCACTACATTTTTTTTGTCGAACTGTTTGTTCTCGACGCCTTTTGCACATCATGTTCGGATAGCCGGTGGTGTTGTGCCGACCATGATTGTGACTTAAATGAGTTAGTGTCAATTTTGCCACTAATCTCGAACTTTTTGGGGATTTAACTAATAGTACTTGCGACTTTTTAGTATGGCAGTACTGGGGTGGGATTTTTCTAGAGTCTGCGACATAGTTGTCTAACAGATCTCCCAAGAGTTGGTAGTAGGAGTAGATTGTAGTTTTCTGTCTGTGACCTAGTTGTCCAACAGACCTTCAGAAATTAATGTTAAGAGTTGTAGAGTAGTAGTTTAAGAAATTTTAGGAGTCTGCGATTTTAATATCCAACAGATCTCACACGGGTTTAGGTTTTGAAGGAGTTTTAGTTTAGGAAATTTTAGAGTCTGCGACTTAGATGTCCAACAGATCTCACCAAGGTTTAGATAGAGTAGTTTGAATTAGAGATTTTTTAGAGTCTGCGACTTTTATGTCTGACAGATTTATTTATTTATTTTATTTATTTATTCTTTATTACCAAAAACAGTAAATGGCGGACTTAATGCCATAGGCGTTCTCTACCAGTCAACCAGTATGGGTGTATGAGACGGATGTTTTGGCGATAGAGTGCGAGCTACTAAAGTTAGAGAAAAATAATAATAATAATATTATCCTACAGAACTATACTATACTATAAACGATAAATATATATTATATCTAATAATAAAATATCCCTATATATATAAATATAAATACACATATATATAAATTAATAAACATACATATATAAATATATACATACACTTAATTAGTTAGAAATAACTATATCAGATGGTACAGATGACTGCAGACCAGAGAAATATTAGACGGTCAGATAGTGTCAGATCTCAATAATGATGATGATAGTGGTTGAATTTTCTTGTAGTAAGCTTTGCATGCTTTTGTTTTAGAGCATTTTGCTTTGGGTTTTTAATAATTTTGGGTCTGTGACTAATTTAGTTTAACAGCTTTTGTTTTGAGACTTGTGACGTTTCGTCCAAGGACTCTATAGTTAGATGATGTTTTGGTATTTGGATAACTTTATTAGAAGTTATTTTCTTTTCACTTTGGGTTTTCGTTTTCATCCATAATTCAACGGATTTCGTTTTGGCTTATAGTATTTGAATTTTAGCTGTAGTTTCTTCAGCCTCGATTCTCGATGCTTTATTCGGGGAAGGGTGAAATGTAACGTGTTAAAAACGTCACATGGATCTCCTTCGCTCGAAGAGCGAGATAGAAGATTTGTTTTGGTTGTCTCTCTGGTCGTTTTTATCTCGCGCCCATTTTCTGTAATCTGTGCACTTTTGAATAATTATGTTGCTAACTTTATCAAGCAGTAGGCTGAATGGACGTTGTTCTCTTTGCCTACCGGCCAGAGAAAACAAACTTAAGAAAAAACTGTCACTTCACTTCACGACGTCATTTTTAGACCAAAGGATGGTCATTTCATATTCCATTTTTTTTAATGGATAATCCCTTATATTATTGATTGTTTTTAATGGTAAGTGTTTTTCCAAATTCGAAAAGTGTTTTAATTCATATATTTCAATGATTTACATGAGGATTAATTTTGTTTTCAGATGAAACATTTTGCATCATTCGTACAAAATGGCGATGGCCATACCTCAAGCTTAATTTGATTGAAAAAACGGTAAGAACCTTAGAGATTTCCTTAGATTTACATTTTTTCCTTTGTTGTGAGCCATGTGCTAATCTGAGGAATGTTTGTTTTCAGCGAAAGCGTTTTTTTTTTATTTGGATTTTTCATTTGGATATCTTATTCCAATTTCAACATATCCCGTGATGTGGAGGTGAACCCACGGGATCTAAAAACGGCCATCCCCTGCATATTTACAACACTAGACATATACTACCCAGATCAGATGAAGCGGGGTCGGTAACATTCTAATAATAAGGTAAATTTTCATTTAATTCCTAGTAGCATCACAGTATATAATAGTTTCTAAATTTAGATTTAACCCTTTTGGACTTAAGTAATTTTGGATTTAAAATTTCAATATATAGACAACCCAAAATGAATATGGATTTGCATTAAGCACCCTTTGCGATTAATATTCCAATGTTCTCCCGGCTAATAATGATGGTACAGTCCAGGCGCCCGAATATTCTTTTTTAATTGATTTCGGCCTGTCCATTCAAAAATTTATTTTTTAATATTACATGAGATTGCTATGGTGCTCTACCTAACGTTATGAAAATTTTATTATGCGCCTTTAGTTTAATCAAATATTATAAACTTTGCTTTGGTGATTGCATAATTATTTAATTTAGCGATCTAAGACAGTTGGCACCATTGTCCAACACAACAGACGGGAATTACTGCTTTCTTCAACCTGCGACATAAACGTCATTGTGGGTATTGTATATAGGGTGATTAACAACATTTGAAGTTAACTTCTGGCATCTACATATTGGGTTTCTGTGAATTATGTAGGTATATAAAAGGATATGACACTGCATTTGTATATATCACCATCTTAGAGCCGGACTTTGACATGACAATGCAGCCACTGCCAATTTTAAATAGTCGATAAATAAAAGTAATAGAATTGTATATTTACTGCTAAACTACTAAAAAGAAGAAACAAAAAATGACTTTTTTGAATAAGTGCTAGTTTTCTATAAAATTTACATACATTAAATATTTACGTAACAACTTGATTTAACTTCACACATTTTTGTGAAAATTGAGGCCCATCTGTAGCCTTGACCCCGCTGGTAAAGTCTCTATATGTCTTAATAAATCAATCTTTTAGACCACCGCAAGGTACTTAATAATTCCCGCGATATTAATTCCCTTACTGAAGTAACAAGACTACGGTATATACCGCCTTAAAATACTAACTAACTAAAAAGTGTGAAATAAAAAAGGTAAATTTAAAAAATCAAAAAACCCGATTGCTTAATTATACTTCAAATAAAAACTGAAAAGAAAAAAACAAGTCCATTAGATATTCAAGAATACATAACATTTTTCAATAATGGGTCCCGACTGTTAAAGTAGCTTTGTTCCTTATTAACAGAATTATAGACTACTGGACTTGTTTTTTTCTTTTCAGTTTTTATTTGAAGTATAATGAAGCAGTCGGGTTTTTTGATTTTTTAAATTTACCTTTTTAATGTTATTTTGACCTATCCACATTGTTTCAAACAATTTTTTTCTTAACCTTTATTATTTTTATATGACAATGACTGACATTGAAATGTCAAATGATACTATGTATTTTAATGTGATCAGGGGCCACTATGGAAATCTCCAAGGCCGTAAAATTTATATAAAAAAAATGTGATCAGGAGTTCACTAGCATGTGACATAATTTTAGTCTTCGCCAATTATAGGCATTTTGATTACGTGACCATAGAACAAAAAGTTATTAATTATTTTATCTCTCAGAATAGTAAAATCTCTGCTTATATTCATATTAAATACAGATGCCAACAATTGGTACTTTAATGACCCCTAGTGGCATCTAAAAAGAACTCACCCGTCTACTGTAGAGATAACACCACAGACATAAGAATCATTACGAAGATCCACAAGTGTGCTCTGATTTTGTAAAGCTTTTACTAAACATAGTAAAGTATTGTGATAATAAAACTTTTCTTTCGCTGTCCCAACAAACATTTTGAAACTGAAAAAGTTTTTCTTTTATTAAACAATACATGAAAAATAAAAGGTATATTACCCTAGCGTAACAATTTCATAAGTCCATATCCTAAGGTATATAGTATTTTGTTGCTAATTTGTTGCTATTTTGTGCCGCAAGATTTGATTTTGTTGCTCTATGATTTCGCGGAAAAACGCCAGTTACGCTAGCGTAATATTACGCTAGCGAAACCACAGCGATAACTCGGAGGCAAAAGCAGTTAGAGAGATCAGATGAACGGCATATTTTGTTGCTATTTTGTTGCTGTAAGATAAGCTGGTTAGATATGGAAAAATTCCCCCCCTTCATGGGGGGCTAACTACCCTTATTCTTAGATATTTCAGATGTTTCGCTAGGGTAATATACCTAAAAATAAAATATATTCTCATCAATGAAGTCATAAAAACATTTGTATTCTAACTATAAATGGAGTCTAAACTTCATATGTGAAAGCAAATAGGATTGTTACAGTTTTATGCAAGACAATTATGATGAATTTAGATAAAAGATAACGGGGACCTTGGATATAGGCTACTTTTTGTAAAGCCAAGCCCAGACAAGAGTGAAGACATTGCAAAGGTATAGATCAAAGGCCATTTGCAATGGCAATTATGGAATATTTGCAAAATTATGATTTTTAAGTACTTCACACAAATCATTAAGACAACTTTTTCAGTCTTTGCAAACGACTTAGTTCACTGTATTTGGAACAAATAGTGAAACTTTTCAAACATTTTACAAATATGTGTACAATTTTCATCTTTACACATGTCTGACTCCAGTAGGCCTATTCGCTAACTGCTTTTTACAGATGGAAGTGATATTGTTGAGCTATTTAGTGATCAATTAATGCTTTCTTATAACTCCACTAAGACATTTGTTCTAAAAAGCAATGATGGATATGCAATTTCCTCTTTAGTTACACAATGTTAATGTTAAAAAGTTAGCAAATAGGCCAGCAGCATTATGAAAATAAATCTTGAAGATTGTAATCCTATTACATGAAATGTACTTAATTGAGGAACTGGCAAACAAAACGGTATAATTACATAAAAATATGGGTGCAAGTACTTAAGTGCGTGAGAAGTTATACTTCTTTTTGGAATTATTAAAAAATAGTTTTTAATTGCATGCAGATAATTAATTACAATAAGATAATAAAAGGATTGGAAAAGGATAGTCAACACAGTCAATAAAGTTCAGTTTTAATTTGAAAAATTTAATAAATAATCAAAATATTCAATTTAAATCACTACTGAATAAAATTTATTAGCACATATAAATTTCGCATTATTTTGTATAACATTATAACACATGTTAAGAATATAGAAACTAGAATCATGTGGATAAATATTATAAATACGAAAACAGTGATCATTTTTCATAATGCAGCTAAAGAACTTCAAAATTAAATTTTACAGGAGTTGTAGAAAACTGAATGACATACCTCGAGTGAGCTTTTGGCATTTTTAATTTATAAATTTAGTAATTTTAACATTGTTTTAGGTGGTTTTGATTGAAAATTATTGAGATTCAAATTCAACTGGCCTGAAACCTCCGGACTGTAAAAATGTAGTGGTTTGACCAGATGCATAATTATACCGTTTTGTTCTCCAGCTCCTCAATTTATAATGGGGAACTGATCATTCTACAGAAATACAAGGAGCAATTAGTTATCTCTGAAATGAAAGAATGCAGCAGCTGAGAATGAGAGGTATAAGCAATGCATCGAAACATTGAATTGAATTCAAAACTAACAACATACAAACATAACTTAATATTGAGATTATCATACCTCTTAATACCTTCCTTTAGTTGTCCTTTACTAATAATCTAGTGTCAGGTTTTGATTTAAGCTCTAATTCAGCTTTAACTATTTTCCATTGGTTATCATTTCTTTCTGCCCAGAAATAATAGATACCTTTGTCTTTAGTGCCAGTGACGGGTACACGAAATCTAGCAGTTTGGCCGTCAGAAAAATTATTTTCAGAATCAGATATTGAAAATCTTTTATCTTTAATTGGTTCTCCTAAATAGTACACAGCACCGGCATGACTTCTTAGTGTCTTTAATGCAGCTTTATAGTAATCAAAATTTCTTACCCTGTCTATCAGCACGGTTTGCAAATAAAATCCAGTCGTACTTACAATGATACCACCCCAAGCTGCGATTTTTATTAAAGTGTTTGTTGATAACCGAGTCATATTAATTAACAGGTTAGCGGTTTTGTAGCACAGACTAATAACAATTTCAATCAAAGCAAGTCACTGACTGACTTTTTTTTTTGTTGAAGTTTTCCCGTTTTAGGGAAGGCAAAGGGAACAATGTTCATACAGCCTAGTCTTTAATTAATTTAATCTTTTTTTTGTTTTTACATTAGAATGTCGGTGTGACGCATTCTAATGTTTCTTGGAGTGTTTGGCACGAAATGTATCGAGTTGGCTTTTTCGATAAGCTTCTGTGAGGTAGTCAACACTACAATAAAATTCTCACGTCCACTTCACCGGAATTGCGTATATTTTAATGATTCCACTAATTCTTCAGTTACGCAGACGGTTGTAACACAAAACCACACCAATTTTATTCCACAATATCCACTATGAACGAATTTAAGAATAATTAAAATAAGACGCCAACCGCACTCGATGAAATCCCGCCAAAAACTTTCACTGACTGACAGGCAGGCGGGGTTGCCAGATGATATTTTATGATTTCCCCTAAATTAATTTTTATAGATCCTTAAAATGATACGTTTTCTAAATGAAAACCTCCAATCGCCTCGTTACAAAAAAAAGCTAGCATCTTTACTATGCTCACTCTTACACAGGGCACGCCAATTACGATTTCCACTTACTTAACTAACTTAAGCTACCTATTGTTACTCTTTTCTTTAAAAAAATGGCTTCGACAGTAGAAGATGATGTGTATGAGGTAAAAGACTGTTCAAACATTCAATGTTTTCTGGACAGCATTCCTAATGGTTTTGCGAATTTACTATGCTTACACATTAATATACGCTCGGTAATTAAAAACTTTTCAGCTTTAGAACAATGTATCAGTTCATGCAGCCATTGCGTGGATGTAATAATAATAACTGAAGCTAATATATCTGATTCGTTGTGTTGTTTATATAATATCGATGGCTATAGTATGCGGGCAGAGTTGCGAAATTCTCGAAGAGGTGGAGGTATAATTGTATATGTTCATAAAAAGCACAAATTAGTTGATTTTAAAATAAAAACACAACACTTTGAATGCCTAACGCTCAAAATCACGACACCATTTCGATATTCCGCTGTTCTGTGTGCAGTGAACTATCGGCCACCGAAAAATAGTAAACATTTGTTTATCGACGAACTACAACACACTATTTCGAACTTCGGTACAGATTGTGACTTGGACTTGCTCGGTGATATGAATATAGATCTAAGGTCCGACAGTGCTTTAAAACATAAATATAAAACTATGTTGTACAATTGTGGACTTGTGTGTGGGATATCCGACTACACGCGAATTGAATCCAGAGACGGTAAGACAAGTAAAACTTGCATTGATCATATATTCGTGAGATCCCGCACACAAGAAACGTACACGGCCGCTCTCGGAACCGTACTGGCTGATTATCGTATGGTTGTGCTGGCTTGCCACGCTCCGCGGATACAGGATGCTCCGTGCAATTCGCACAAAACAATATTAGACTATAAAAAATTTACTAATCTTTTACTCAATATAAATTGGCAAGCTGCAAATGATATGTCGTGTCCTTTCGAAATATATAACTTCATTAACAATAATATAAATAACTGTTATGTTCAATCAGAAATTAAAATAAAAAACAATTCTAGGTCTTTTCGTAAAAATAATATAAAATGGGTTAGCAGTAAAATAATAAAAGCATGCAATTATAAGGACAAACTATTTATTGAGTGGAAAAATGACACAAATAATAAAATACTACGACTAAAATATAATAAGGCAAGAAATTACGCAAATAAATTAATACAAAAAACTAAAAATGAATTAACAATAAAAGAAATTTCTGAAAATAAAAAAGATCCCCGGCTTCTATGGCAGCTATTAAATAGATTAACCGGCAAAATTAAAACATCCATTGACAGTGCATTGAATGCTGCATTTGAGACCAGCACGTGTAAAAAGATTGACATAGCAAACAACTTTGCTCAGACATTTAATCAAAGCGTAAAGTCCATCTCATCAAATTGTAATGTTCGATTATTAGACAGATCAACGTATAGTATGCCCAAAATTGTCACAATAAAATATCAAAAAGCACGATTAGATAATGTACATAATATTATAAAAAAAACTGAATAAAAATAAAGCACAAGGATCTGATGGCATAAGGGCAATCGATATAAAAAGCATAGGTGATAAAATAACCACAGCTATTTCCAAGCTCATTAACGCTAGCATAGTCACAGGACAGTATCCCGACCAGTTAAAGTCAGGAATAGTTCGACCGATATATAAAAAGGGCGGTCATAAAGACTATGAAAATTATAGGCCTATCACGATCCTCCCCACAATAGGCTAGTTGACCCTTTTTGGAAAAAGGTTTTAAATGGTTAATAAATGTTCTATTAGACCGAAAAAAAATGTATTGTATTTTTTTTAAACCTAGAAAGCTACAAATCTTTAATTTTAAAATAGACTTTTCATGGACATACAAAAACGCTGTCGGCCATTTTAGTCTATAGATTATCTATGCTATGACGTGAACTGCGGTAAACAAAAACTCGTAAACACGTAGAAAATTACTTTTAACTGAGTTTATAATAAAAAGAACATGATTTCTATATAAATACCACGAAAACTAAAGTAATTATCATTACTGTATTGTACGAGAATATAAAAACACATCCTTGAAGACTCCAGAAAAGTTGTGGATTAAAGTGCCGAAAGAAATAAACCTACGCAACTTTATTACACTTATTCATATGTTGTATCAGTTTTATGTTTATTACTACATTGTAATACTAAATGCACTGTACTTACATACATGCCTTGTCGTTTCTCTGCTCCGCAGAGCAGAAATCGGGGTTTAGTGCAACAAATTCACCAACCGTCAATGCGTCAATTCTTGGCAGATTTGTGCTTTCTGCTTTCACAAAGCCGGCATCCATAATTAGTTTTGTCAAAAAAAAACTAAGTTTACTGTTTTTTTCTTTCCTAAAGTTAAAAGTGTTTTAAGATAAAAGTCAGACGAAAGAATCCACCTACAGTAACACGCGAATGACATTTAGTTGTTTACCACAAGAGACGTCAAAATCATGGCGGATATGGCGAACAGCGTTTTCAGTGTTTAAAAAATATAGACTAAAAATATTTTTTTAAATTAAATTTCTACAGCAATCTTCTGCTTTTATGAAGTGAAATCGATATATTAAGGTTCTTTAGACTAAATACTTTAAGAAATAAACATTTATTTAATATAATTCGACATGAGTAAACTAGCCTATTGACAAAATTGTTGAAAAATATATTGATTGGTAACCAAATATATACGTTTTTTAATAAAAATAATATAATTTCACAAAGACAGTATGGCTTTCAACCCGGAAAAAATACTTCACAACTACTTTCTGACTTTACGGATTCTGTTAATAAACATATAGATAGCAAACGACACGTTATCATTGTATTTATTGATTACTCCAAAGCGTTCGATACACTTCGTCACGATATGCTCGCTGATAGTTTGGAGGAAAGTGGGATACGTGGTTCTTTATTGGAATGGTGTAAAAATTACTTACAAAACCGAACATACTCGGTGAAGGTGGATGATGCAATAAGTAATAAAATTCATTTGGCGGAAGGGACAGCACAAGGATCAGCATTAGGACCCTTACACTACATTACTTATGTGAATAATCTTACATACGTCATTAAGACTTGCGAAATGTACCAATTTGCTGACGATACCTGTTTACTTGCTGCTGACCCTGATGTTAACATGGCGCTTAAAAAGTTGCAAACTGACTTTACACTACTTTGTAAATGGTCCCATGATAACGGACTCGTATTAAATGACACTAAAACGAAAGTTATGTATATTAGCACTAGTCAAAATAGAAAAGAAACTCCTATAGTACTCGTATCACATAATCATAATTGCTTGCATACCAATAACTTTAACACTAATTGCTGTTGCGACGCACTGAAAGTTGTAAAAAATCAAACTTACCTCGGGCTAATCATTGACGATCGGTTGACATGGGCCGATCATATTCAACACGTATGTGATAAATTACGAGCACTTCTTGTAAAGTTTTCTATACTTAAACATAAAATTCCTTATCCTATATTGTTATATTTATATAAATCACTGGGGGAATCGATAATTTCTTATGGACTGAGTAGTTATGGACGTACTGCGGAATCACATTTACATCGCATCTATGAACTTCAAATGCTCAATTTAAAAACCATTGTCCCTCGTAAAGTGAGGGAGAAATATAAAAACAATTATCACGTATTGTTCTCTTATTGCTCATTGATGCCGGTTCAGGAGAAATTTAAATATAACATCTTAACAGAACAATTCTTCAATACTGATATTCAAAAGGTTTCATCTCATAGAAAGTTAACTCGAGGCGTTGCAAATAATAAATTATTAATTCCAAAATCAAATAACCTATATGGGCAACGAACATTACAATTCATCATAAAACGCACATTAAAAAGTCACTTTATCAATAACTTAAAAATAATTCATTTAAAACAACCGTTACAACGAACCTAAAATAAAAACATAAAAAAAGTCATATTTATCATTACAATTGGACCATCCTTTATCTACGATAACTGCATTTCGACTTGTATGCTTAGCTAGTAAAAAAAAACTTACCCAACCGGTATAGGTTCGTGCGAGTGCAAATTAATTGTCATGCCAATGTTTGCTATTTTCAACATACCCACTTATTTTATAAAATATTGTTATTTAATGATAGTTACTACAGTGTGACAACCTATATTTATTTATTGTTACAAGATGTAAAAGGTGAATGTAGTGCACGAATAAACCTTTCTGGTTTTTGTTTGCACTATAATATGTATTATAATTGTAATATTGCTTGATTAAATAAATTAAATAAAAAAAAAAAATACCTCCCCCACCCCAGAAAACAAGTTACATTCTTTACATTAATTATTTACTGTATATTACTGAGTAGCTCGATGGCGC